CCAGTTTTGTGCCGGGACACTTTTTGGGGGGACGAGGGTGTCAAGGGGATGCCTCTAGCAATGGGGGGACCTGCCTCACGGTAGCCATCACCCAGCTCCGCTGTCACAGGAAGGGGGGGGGGGCCGCAGAGGAAGCCGCTGCCCCGAGGGGAGGCCGAGCCCTTTCCTGTTGGAGCCGGTGGAGCCCGGAGGACCCGCGCCCCGAGGCCGCCTGGCAGGGAGGACAGCGGGGCCCACGCCCAGGACCTTCCTCTTCCGGCTGCTCAGCGCTTGGCAAATTCCAGGGCGTGAGTGAAAACGTCCACAGCGCAGATGGGTGAAGCCGGAGGGAGTGCTCGATAACTGTAATCGATCCTTTAAAAAGCCTTTGCTCCCCTCCAGCTCACGCACGTTTCATGCTCCGATACGAGGGCGAACGCTGCAGCCCGAGGGGGCGATGAAGGGGCTTAGAGACGAGGCACGAGCTGTGAATAAGCGTTGAGGTGATGGCTGGGCGGGCCCTGCGATGGGGGAGCCTCGGGGTACCCGCCTGGGCCCTGGGTCCCACCGTCCGGTAGGGGAAGCCGGGGGCACCGGGACCTGTCCCGGCTCCGCAAACACGGGCTCCCCGCGCGCCTGCGCACCCAGCCCGGTGAGTCCCTGTTGGAAAGGACGAGGGCCGGCAGCGCTGGCTGCAGTCGTGCGCTTGTGAGTCAGTTACCTTCTCATTCCCCAAGCTCACAGAACCCCCACCAAACACCTCTGCTGAAGGCCTAGGCTTTTACTCCTAAGTGGCAGTTACTCATGAATAAACTTACTTGGCCATAAATGGGACCTTAGATTTAACTTCAAGCATCCACCTGGTTTTAGTCTAGGCCAAATACAGAGATCTGACATAACTTATTTTCTTCTATTCCAATGGCTCAAGCTCTTAGCATCAGCAAGCACTGAGTAGGCTTGCAACCCCGAGTGGAGGCATGGCTGGCGAAGTAGGAAGGAATAACAGCCATCCCAGAGGACAGCCATCCTTGGTTGGACCCAGTGAACTGGAAGCAGCATCCAAAGTAAATCAATCCCCCAGATGACACACTCCACCCGTCAGTGCAGCCACAGGAGAGAGAGTGAATTCAATCCAAATGGTTATTTATTCTAAAACTGGAAGCTACTGTGCCTACATATTCGCCAGAATGTTGTAATGAGAACAGGGGAGGAAAAAGTTACAGATGTAAACAATGACACAGTTACATTTTTTAAAAAATGGTAAAACCCTTTTTTACTGGCCACTTCCAAGAATGCTTTACAGGTTGTGCAAAAACATTTACAGGCTCCATGTGATGTTTGTTTTTCTCACAAGCTTTTCCATCTACAACTACAACAGAGGTCTGATAAAACACTAAACAAATCTAAGGAAAACAAGGCTAGGGATCCCTTCTGTTAATCCACATTTGCCCCCTTAACATTGTTGTTGTTTTTTTTATAATAAAAAGACAGAAACAAAACCCAGACATCTAGTGTTGCTGTGAGTGATCTCGGATTAAACCAACAAGGACGTGGCAGTTTCACTTTCCACCCACCTAGAAAAACAGCTTTTTTTTTTTTTAAAGGTGACTTTCTAGTGTCAAAATTTAACAGCAAGTACCTCCCCTAATCCTCCCTCCCAAGAAACCCAAAGGGGCAGAGTTTATCCCCCTGGCCCTGAGGGCCTAGCACCCACAAACCATGTCATAGATTACAAAAGGATGCTACTTGCTGGAGGACTAGATATTTCGAAGGGGGTGGCAGTTTCTGCCTCAGATTTAATTTTCTATTATAACATGATCTTGCCCTAAGAGAATTTCTTTGGGCTCCAGTTTTTACCTCCTTGCCCTGATACTATGAGCAAAGCTTCTCAAAAACTCCCTTAATAATAAAAAGTTAGTGGGTACAGAAAAGTTCATGCAGTCACTTCACCCACTGCCACACACAAATCCATTCGACGGCACCACAAAAGCAGTGTCCAGAGGACACCATGAGCAAGCAGTTACTTCCTATCAGCCCCCCATTCCAACCTGGGGGTCAGAGGTATTTGTGGGACAGAAGGGTGTATCACAGACGGGCAACTAGAGGGCCAGAACGAGAGCCTGCAGACCTAGAGAAGGGCTGCATGGTGGTCACAGTGGGAGAGGGAGAGAGATCAAATCTCGGCACAAAGTTTTAAACAGAGAACTGCTCAGGTGAGGAAATGGAAGTGAAGCTTTTTCTAGTGACAACCCAGGGTCTTTCCTCACCAGGAAGCGCTGCAACACGTGGTATTGGCTGAAGAAGCTCTTGGCGGACTCCATGCTGAGCTGCTGAGCGGGAAGATGAATTAAAACTGAAGCTACATATTGAAAGAGCATTCCCATATCCTTGAACCCGGGCACCTGAAGCTGTTAAGAATTGGGAGGGTGTTGGTAAAGTTGCAAAGACCATCCCAACTGAAGTCTCCTGGCTAGAGGCCTCTCTGGGGACACGCAAGCAAAGCACCCCAGAAGGAATCCTGTTTCAAGAAGCCAGGAAGGGGCGCTCCCTTTCATGCACACATGACACACACATTCACACTCTCCCCAAGTTACAGCAGCCCCACTGAGCTGCCTCCCCCCGCCCCCCCCACCCGCCCCTTTCTATTCACTTTCTACCTGTGTATCAAAAAGACCAGCGGGCTCGTGCCCTCCGTACTGTATAAAATAGTTGCTATTCTCAGCACCTGGGCCTGCTAGCCCACACCACAGGATTCACTATATACACATCCTGCTGCCATGAGAAGAATCCTGCTTCATTTCTGTGTGAGCGGAAACCCTGAGAAACGTTCCTTCTCTTGCACTGTAAGAGGACAGATACTCTAACAGAGATGATTTCAGAGACTTCATGCCTATCTCAACCTTGGAAGACAGAGGACAGACTGACGATCACCATCTTCAGGCTGAGGCCTGCAACCCCATTCTCCCCCAAGACTTGATGGGAACTCATTAATGGGTACGTAGAGGGTGCAAGCTATTCTGCTCTGCGAACAAGCACAGTCCCCCTGCCTCCTCAGCCTGGGAATCCTATATAATAGAACCATCTAATTGGTAGTCTCCAGGCCTCAGCCAAACAGCATAGGCACAGGAAAGTGGAGACAATGCCACTCTGGCCTCCCAGCCCACCAGACCAGATATCCCAAGAGGGAAAGGTTGGTAAAGAAAATACAAACGGTTAGTTGGTGCAAGTGATTGATAAGAGCCAATCGTTTATTTCACTGCCCCAGTCACAAGCTCTCCCTCTGTCCCACTCCTGCCTGCTACGGAGAGTGCCCTCACACGCTTGCTTGCTCACCCTCCACTCCACCTCCTCACTCTCCCTCACATGGCTGCGCTCCTGCTGCCTTACAGTGTTAAAGGGTGACATTTTCAGTCCTTTTCCTGTCCAACTGCAGGGTATAGGACAGGCAGCCCTAAGTGCTGCTTTCTGAGCAAATGTTTTTTGATTACAAATATCTAACTAGGTTTGAAATGTTTTATAGAATAAGACAATATTCTTTTCAACAAACTTTAAAAAAAATGTACAGTTTTGTTGTTTGTTTCCACCTCCCCCCTCCCCCACCCTTGCTTGCGCACCCTCCCTCCCACCACCCCTCCCCGGCAGCTCAGCCCCACCCCGACAGCCCCTGTTTTCCTTGGTTGTGTTTTTGGGGATGGCTGGCACCCCCAGAGATTCAGCTTCATGGCTGACAGGTGACAAGGGCAGAGGCTTCACCGATACCCTTGGTAACCGTAGTAGTTCCTGTAGTATCGGTCTCTGTCCTGGGGGTGGTGGTAGTAGTAATTCTGCCACTAGAAGAGAGGGGAACCCCGTCACCTGAGGCCACAGCTGGCTGAGGACCGAGAGGCATGACACTCAGCCCCTGGTCCTGCCCCCCCTTCACCCTCTCTATCCCCAGAAGATACTTACATCCCGATTGTACTGTCTGTAATAGTCTCTGTATCTGTTGTACTCATAATCTCGACTATAGAAGCGATCATAATCTCCCCGGTATCGATCGTAGAAATTACGATAACCCTGAGAAAGGAGAAAGAGGAGTGAAGATTTATGGGTTTCCAGTATCACGATCCACTGCTATCCCCCATCTTAAATGAAACACATCTCAGCTTGATTTTGTAACAGACTTAATCTTCCCAAGATAAATCCTTCCAGAGGAACACATTAAATGGGCACAAGCTAAGCCCTGAGAAAACAGCCCAAACCACTCTGCTCCCCCAAGCCAATAGGAGTGCTAGCACGGCCCAGAGGAGGAGCAGAAGGAGAGCTGCACTCACCCCTCTGTTTCCAGACTGCCCCCAGTACTGCTGCCCGTAGGCCCGGTTGTCGTAGCCTCGGCGCTGCCCGCCCACTGGAAGAGAAATGGGAGAGCGCGCTCAGACAGCTGGCGTGGGGTCCTGGCTCCATGGCTGAGTGGAAATCAAAAAGTTGGAGCCCAAGGCAATTCTGGGAGAATAGGAGGCCTGCTTCTGTCAGGCTCACACAATGTTAATTAAAGCACTAGCCAGGATCTTTTAGAAAGTCTGAGGGGGAAAGGCAGAGGAATAGCGACACAAGAAAACCAAGCCACCTTGCTTTTGAAGCTCCCCAATTTCTGCAAGATATTTAAGATGACAAAAAAATACTTGGCAGAATAAGAAACATCAGTAAATACTGCCATTCACAGAACCACTGACTTTCAATCCTGGAAGGGATCTCAGAGGTCATATAACCCCGACCCATCACCTTATACAGACGGAACAAAGTCTCAGTGACAAACTCCTCCAGGGTAGGCACTGTTGGTATTCCCAGTGCCTAGCATGTAACAGGCATGCAAACGTTTTGTTGACTTACTTGCAAACACACACACACACACACACACACATTTTTAAAGGGCAGTGAATGCACAGTGGAAAGTTAACTGACAAGCTAGACATTCAAGATGGATATTAATTCCACTAGTAGCCTAAATTACTTTGTAACCCCCCAAATTACTGCATAGTGCATTCACTTCTGGTCTGTATGGTGGGGCTGACCCACTGGATAGAGCATTAAGAAAACAAAGTGAGAATCCAACTTCACTGCACAAATCCTTTAGATAAGCTGCAACAGTGAAGTGGGAAACCTACACATATAAGTGAAAAATAGACAAATGAGAAGGCTCAAGCATTGCTTTTCACAGAAGCAAATATTCGTGTTGAAAAATAACTCCCTTTTACTGAAGGATTATGGAAAAAGCACAAGAAGCTGGGGTTAAAGCACACAGGAAGAAATAAGCTCCATAAAGAAGTCACTTCCTTATTCCTGGTGAGTGACTTGACTTGGTTTCCTTATGGATCCTGCTCAGCACAAAGCACAGACTGGGGCCAGGGGCTGGCTGGCCCCGAGACTCACCATAGCCTTGGCCTTGGCCTCGGCTTCGGTTCTGCCGGTTGCGCTTGTTTCGATTGTTCCGGCGGTTTGTCCGTTTCTCAGAGGGGGGCAGCAGCTTCCTGGCCTCCTCCTTGTACTTAGTGACAAGAGGCTGAGCTTCTTCCTTCTCCAGCTCCCCATATGTCACCTCATCCATGTAGTCGCATTTTTCAGGCAAAGAGAAGTTGGCTGTAAGAGTAAGAGAGAAGCTTGTGGGCCTGAAAAGTGCAGATGGGTAAGAGCTCATTATAAAAACTATTACAGAAGAACAGAGTTCCTAAGCTCCTCTACTAATGCACAAAAAAAAGTGCTGGTACTTTATCTATCATAGGTTTTCCCTAAATTGTAACAGCCACAAGCAAAGGGCTACTGTAAGTGGTAGATGTACAAGTTCTCAAGTGATCCATAATAAATTAGGGAGTCCACTGGGTTAAGGTTTCTTATCAGGACAGAAGCAGGTAGCCAGAGGCGAAAAGTAACTGAGAAAGTTTTGGTGTTGGTTAGATAAGACGCTAAGAAATACAAGTTCAGAGGCTGAGTCCCAGTGGAATGCAGTTCACTGGGGGGCTCTCTTAATTCTTAGATGAATCCAGTGAAACCTCTTGAACTACATTCCTCCAACCGCCTATCAGTTAGGACTGCATAGTTCTTTTTTTCTAAACTCGGACAGTCTGGCTCTTAGATGTGCAACCGGCTCCATCCCTGGGTGTTAAAAATCACACCCTGAAGGGAACAGCAGGAAGTGAGATCAATCAGGACAGGTAATCCCGCCTCACAGGGACTTTACTATTAAGCTTTGTATTGCATTAAAGATTTCAGGCTCCTACCAGAAACCAAAATAAGCAAGCCTGATGTGTTATCAGAAATCAAGACATGATGATGAGATCATTCAATCCAACCACTATATTTTAATTTGAATCATAATACCCCCCCCCCCAGAATATAAATTTAATAAAGCAGAGCTTCCTTTCATTCACAATTGCCCTACATCTAGAATAGTGCTAGGCAAGTAGAGAGTTTAAGTACTGACTGCATGAGTAACTGACTCAATGAAGCCTCCGCCTTGAGGTCAATCACTATTGCATCTTATCCAGAATGACCAAGGAGTTAGTGCTTCTCCTTCCACTCTGCTTCTTCGTTTACCTACAAGCGCTCACATCCATTAATTTACTCTCCAGGGTGACACGTTAGGTGTGGAGAATCCCTCAGGGGCTGAGAGCCCTAGTGAGGTGTGTGCTGACCGAGGCCAGGTGCCTGACTTGTACAGTTTCCGCCCACCTTTCATCTCCAGCATGATGGACTCAGGCACATCGTCGCCCTCCACTTCCTTCCTCCACTCCAGCCTCTGCTTCCAATCCTCCTCGCTAGGGACAACCACCACCACTTTCCGAGAGAACGTCTTAAACAGCAACAGTTTCCGCCGTTGGCCAGAGTTGTACACGTTACACTAGGGACAAGAGGAATAACATGTTTTAGGAATAAAAATCATCAAATTCAACGAAAACACTTATTGAGCATCCTTTACAAATGAGGCACCAGATTAGGAGTCTTATACATACAATCTCCTTTGATTCTTTAAACTCTACATGACAGATATTATTGGGTTTTGCACATCAGGAAATCGAGACTCATTGAGGCCAAGACTTGTCCAAAGAAGGTAACAAACCTAGCAAGTGGGGGAGCCAGGAACCCAAAGGAGCTCTAACGCCCTCTCCCTGGCCTCGAGGACGTGCTTTCTAGTCTGGGCTCACAGGCTCTCTGGTAGAGCACAAACAGAACACCCACCATCTCTGAGTTCAAGAGATGTTACAACTACAACATACAACCTTTTGGTCATAATTAAGTAAACTGATTCTGTTCCTTAACTCAGTATCTTTCTACAAATGCACCCCACTTTAACTCTGAGCAATTGTATCAGATTAAATGGATGCCAAAATTTTCATCTTTGGATTTTCTGTAAAGTGAGGTTGCTTCTGAATGTCTGAAAAATACCTGATCAAGAATGAAGTTCCTCTTTGTCCGGGAAGCAATCTGGACCAGTTTGCTAAGGCACTGGGAGGCTTGCTGAACTAAAAGGTCTCGGCTTTTGGGGTCCATTTCTGGCTCCTCAAGCCCCTTCATCTGATGAGTTTGAGAGGAAAGGAAGAGAAACGCAAGAAGTTATACAGCAAGTTAAAGCCTGAGCCATAGGTAACTGTTACTTCTTTAATGCCACCAACGCTGTCACATCAGTTCATTCCTATTCCTCAGTGCCATGAATGTTGTCCACTTTATGCAGGAGTCACTTCTAGTCTTAATCTGAATATATTCCAGATTTTATCATCTTTCAGAAATATGACAACACAGCAAAGAAGAAGAAAAAAAGCCCTCCCTGTAACATGTACTGAGATGAATTCATTTCTCTATTTGTGTTGTCAGACACTTGACAGACTCACTCCGCTGGGAAAGGTTACAGGAATATCCTGATGCCCCCAAAGCAATTACCCAGTTGACTCATCTCCCCCAGCAACTCACCCTCATTTGATTGAGGACAGTCTCAGCTCCCAGGACATTGTATCTTTTCTCAGGGTTTTCTTTTGAGTATTTCAGTGCCCACTGAGTCTTTCCAGATCCAGGCAGTCCCACCATCAGAATCACCTGCAAACAAACAAAACCAGGAATGCCATAAAAAATAAGCAAGGGTCATGTTTAAAAGCCCACTTTAATAATACCCTCCCTTGCCCCAGTTCAGTAGAACTTTGAGAAGAAAAGCTGCCACCACCACCCCCACCCCCTCACTCTACAGCAGGAGCACCAAGCCTTTTGCACACTGTGCTGCATACCTCACACTCCTCCATGGTCTTAGGTGGGACTGCAGTGCGCACACGCTCCTCAACAGGCACAGCATGGATGAACACAAACTCTTCTGGCGGTGGGAAGAAGGGCTCCTCCTTCTGACCAAAATTCAATTCTACAACACAATTTTTGCAGAGGACATGGGGTAGGAGCGCCCGGTCTGCCAGGGATTCCTTGTTGATCCGGAATGCCACACCAAGGTCTTCTCCATTCTTAGAAAAGGAAAGTTCTACTTCTTCAGTCTCAAAATTCTACAATGACAAAAGACAAGAGCACTTGTGGGCTTATAGGGTTTGAGGTTGCTTGAATCTTACAATTTAATCTTTAAGCAATGCTTCAAATACATAAAATACAGCAACTAATGGGAAGGGAACTGAATTCCCAATGCCCTCTACCCTCTTCCTGCTGTGCATCCACAACTTTCAGGAGCACTTACAGCAAAGCAGCCAATGACATCATTCTCCCCAAAAGTCTGGCCAAATTCCTCAAATTGCCCATTCTCTGCCTTGAGTCCTCGTCCATCAAAACCGTAAGAGAATTCATCCTCACCTAGAATAGTGAACAAATTAGTTACCTACACCCAAACTTCCCATGAGTAAGCAATATGGTAGCAAAGATTAATGATGAAGTTAAAGTAACGTTACCAAGCTGTGGATGGGAAAAATCAACAGACCATCCGACTCGAAGGAGAGAAACCTCTGTGCAGCCTTCTTTCATTGGGAGATTCTGGGTTACCTAGCCAGGTCAGAAAAAAACCTCTCAGATACTCTGGCCAACTCAGAAGCAAAGTTTCTTAAAAAACAAGATATTTATTTCTTTAATCCTCACCCGAAGATATGTTTTTATTGAGTTTAGAGAGAGGAAGGGAGAGAGAGAGAAACATCAATCAGTCACCTCCCATATGTACTCTGACCAGGAGTCAACCTAGGTATGTGCCCTGACTAGAAATCAAACCTACAACCCTTGTGTACAGGATGACACTCCAACCAACTGAGCAATAAGGCCAGAGCAAGACAAGATTTTTATACAAACTAAAATGACAACTCTCACAACTTAGCATCAGAATAATAACTGCCAATGAACTTAAACCAAAGCCCTGGGAAGAAACAATTTCTTGATTACTGGAGCTAAGGCTATCATTGAAGTGTGTGGTACCTTTTTCTGCACTAATGAAATACTGGTGGGCAGGAGTCCAGTACACATAGTAGTTTAATCAATAATTTAATAAATGAACGGTCTTAATGAGCTGTACATACTACCTTGGCCTCAAAGCAGACTTTCCCCTTTGTCACTCCATAAGTACTCCTTGCCCCAGACCACAGGGTAGGGAACTTCTCTGAGAAAAGTGGCTGCCCTCCATAGCCGTCTTTGCTCACTTGAAAATGGAGATCAGAGGTATCTGTTAAGAAAGAAGCAATCCATTAATACTTATGTGCCACCAATAGCACACAAGTATACTCAGTTGTCAAGAATGGATACAAAATCTCTCATGTGCTAAATCTCTTAAAATTTGCAGGCCATGAAATTTTAATCTCCAAAATCACTTCTGATTGGTTAAAACCCCAACCTGTCTGCCTTATACATACACGTGTCCAGGTTCACAAGAGTTTGATCTTCCTCCTCCTCTTTTGCCTCTTCTTCAGGGGGTGGTGGAGACTTTGAGCTACACAAGTAAGAGAAAAGCAGATACAATGTAACCAAAGCCCTCGCTTAGAGAGGTGTCTGCAGGACATTGTCTGTTTTAAACTACAGCGAATATAAATTCCAGCAGACAGCTTCTTTCAGTAAACGAGAAAAGGGCAACAGGAGCTTTCAGAGTAGATTCGATCTAAAACTTATGCCTATAAAACCTATTCCATTTTTAATCCACCCCTTTCCAGACTCTCCAATCAACACCAGGTACACCAAGATCAGCGCAGACACTCCCTCCAAGGGAAGGGACTGTTTCCCTCACCGGCTGTGGTAAGCCTCCTCTCGGAATTCATAGTAAGCTCGGCCATGTTCATCCTTCTCATCCCGCTGTCTCTTTACCCCCCGCCGCTCACCATCTGAGCCTGCTGGTTTTGACTTTTCACTATCTTGGTCATCTCCTACAAAAAGGAGGGAAAGAAAATCAGCAGTTTTCATATTGGAGTGTAGAATAAGCTCAGAACCAACAGATACTAAAGGGGGATCTGAGTATCTGTCTCATCAGAATAGCCAAGTTAATCCCACTGCATCCACAGAACGTTTTATTTCCAAAGATCATCTTCCTACATTGGCTGAAATTGTATTTGTTTTTAAAGTATACTATGGGCTAATTACAGTCAAGCCGTAGACAAAAATTGGACAATTTTTGCATTCTAAATTTATCTGCTTAAATCAGGTCAAACTTGCAGCTTTCCCTAACAATATGACATTAAAAAAAACTTCATTGGTTAATTTAATTTTGATTCTTGATGGTCAGATTTGGATTTAAGCTAGACACAAACTATATTTTCCAACACTTTCCCACAGCTTCATGATATAGAAGCCTCAATTTAGAAAAACAAGGAGTTTGCCTTTCCAGCTTTAAAATGCACAGCCATCCACGGATTTATTTATACAGCAAGTGGATACAGGTGCATGACACAGAGCTGTATTTTTATCACGGATTTTTACTGAAAGTTGTGAGAGCAAAACCATTCATTCACAAGAGGCACATCTTTTAATTCTGCACCATTACTGCACATAATTTAGGGGCAGGAAGGCGCTATCAGATATTTAGCAACATTCTTTACTAGAGGGAAAAAACAACTCAGGAGTTTTTCCTTAAGCCTCTGTAGTTTTCAATACAAAGGTTTTTAAATAATTATTTAAGGCAGTCCTTTATTCTTTAACCTTTTTTATTTTATTTTTCCCCATCGCCATTTATGCCCTCTTCACCTCCCGCCACCTCTTCCTCAACCTTTTTTATCAGCTATTTGGGGTACACATTATGTCAAAGCTTATGTAATGGGATTGTTGTTCCAGGACGTAGGCAAACAATCTTCAAGTTGCACGTGATTGTTGCAGAATGGGTTCCAATTAATACCACGATACTAAGTAGCAGCCCAAACAATGTATTAAGGCAGGAACTAAGGCGGCAACCCGATTCACAGTAAGACTTAGAAGCGGCTCTAGTTGTCCTCCTCACTCTGACAGTTACGGATCAGCTAAACCATCCAATTACTTCAAAGGAAGGCAGGTGACTAACTCCCGGGGGCAACTTTCCACATGCTCTTCCCCAAGGTTACTTGATGGATCCACCACCACCTCAATCCTTTCAATTCAGTTCATCAGGGGCCTGAAATGTAAAAGGCTAAGTGTGCACCCAATTTACAGATATGCCCGCCCATCCACTCAGTGGGAAGATCACATTTTCATCATAATACCGGCCAGGGAAAAGCCCCCGCCAGTTAACTGGCTTATCATTCTCAATGCACTGGACAAGACTTCTCTTCGCTAGTTAACTATTAAACTCGACGCCGTCACCCCACTGGCTGTGCCCTGCTGCTGCCTGCGCAGGAGCAAGGGTAGATCGCCAGATTCTGCGTGGCTCAAGCTATCCCACTGTGCGTCTGTCTGATGGATCGAACGCGGACGGATTTAGTTACCGCTTCATATTTTTATGGCGAAAAAGCCAGCAGCCAGCCCAAAGGCCAAAGCCCCCAACAGTCGGTCGGTCTGGCTGTCCGTGGGGCTGCCCACGCCTCCGTGCATTCTCGGGTTAGGACACGGTAACCGGCGCCGTGGGGGCTGCTCCACAGGTAGCTCGCGAGCCGTTCGCATGCAACACCGCTCACGTCCATCCACCACCACCAACCCACCCAGTTAGGCAGGAACCTCCCTCCTGCGGAGCGGGGCCACCCGAGGCGGCCAGACCCCCCAGAAAGGTGCGGAGAGAATAAAAGCCACCTCCCCTGGGGAATCCCACCCAACGGCGAAGGGAACCTTGCACTTCAGGCAAGTGAGAACAAGGGATCGGACCCCGGGGTGCAAGGCTGGGCGCCTGGGACGAGGGCGCACCCGGCAGGTTGGAGCCGCGCTCCGCTGCCAGCACCTCACCCTGTTCCTCTGCGGCCTTGTCACCCGGCGCCTCGGATCCCGGCGTCTCGTCCCCGCTGCGCTCCTCCGGCTCCTCTTCTTCCCCTTTGCCGGTGCCCTGCTCTTCGCCACCATTAACGCCACCTGACTCGGCCGCGGCCTCCTCAGCCGGCTTCTCGGAAGCATCGGGCTCGGGCTCGGCCTCGAGCTCAGGCTCAGGCTCGGCCTCGGCCTCGGCCGCGGCCTCCACGGCTGCCTCCTCCGGGGGCTCCGGCGGCGGCTGCGAGGCCTGGTCCGAGGCCTGGGCAGGAGGTGGCTCTTCGTCCTCGTCCTCAAGCAGCGCCTCCTCGTCCTCCTCCTCCTCTTCGTCCTCCTCTTCGTCCCCGCCCGGGCCGCCGCCCGACGCGGCCACAGGCCGAGGCTCCGCCTTGCAGGCCCCGCCGGGCACGGCCCCGCCACCACCGGCCTCGTCCTCGAGCATCTCGGCGTCCAGCGCCTCCTGCAGCCGCTGCGCCAGATCCACCTTGAGGCCGCGCGAGTCCAGGCCCCGCCGCTGCAGCTCCGACCGCAGCTCGGTCACTTTCAGCCGCTTCACCTCCATTGCCGCCGCCGCCTCCTCCGCCTCCCGCTGCCTCCTCCCCTGCGAACCGACGACCGAGCACGACCGCGCAGGCGCCGCCGCCGCCCGCCTCCGCTTCACGCGCCAGCACTGAGCCCGCGCGAGCGAGCGCACGCACGGACGCACGCAGGCGGCGAGGGCCGCGCGCAGCCTCTGCGACGGTTCTCCTTTCGGCTCCCCTCCCCTTCGCAGCCCCGGGAGCCCGAAACAACGGAGCGGGGAACTATTTCCCGGCCTGCAGCCTCTTCCCTCTGTTACCAGCCGCGGCGGGCGCGCGCCGAGGACGACGGACTTCCCTCCCTTGGCCTCCCGCCCCCTCTCACGTACTGGCCAATCGCCGCCGGCGTTCCACTGCGCAGCCGCACGGGAGCCGGAGACGGGAGAGACTGGCTGCCGCTCAAGTGCCTCGTAGCATGGAGGCGTGTGCGCGCCCTTCTTTCCGTACTTCCAGCGGGGAATCGCGCAGCCGCCCGGACCTCCCTCCCCTGCCGCACGCCCCTCCCACCCCGCCACCACCTTCGCTCAGTCTGACTTCCAGTCGCGCTTTCGTCTTGGGGCTTGCTCACCGGGCGCTTTTCCTGTCTAAGCAGGCAGCAGCTTCTTCGCAGTTAAAAATAAAAGCCAGAAGGGAAGTTGTTGCAACGTGAAAGCCTCCTAGTAATCGTCTTTCTGACTAGTAAACCAAAGGGCTCTCCAAAACCAAGAAATATAGTAGCCTCTTGCTCCGCCCCAACCCTCAATTTCTACCTAGCAACAGATGACCGAACCTCGCCTTGTAGCTAGGCTATTGGCCAACTTGAATCTTCTTCTGCAATTTTGATTGGTCATCCGTGATAGTCCGAATGTTTCCAATTGGCGAAGCCGCCACGGGCTCCCCCACCCCCCCGTTCGTCCGCAGAGGAAGCTGGGAAGGCGGGGTCGTTTCTGCGGGATTACTTTTCTGGGGCCGCTCCTGATTGGGCGGCGTGGTGCGATGCGCGCGACCCTTTAGACAACAAACTGTCAAGGGACCGGACCCTGTCCTCTGGGTGCTCCCACCCGTAGTCGGAAACCCAGGGACAGACTTCCGGGCTGTAGGGCCCTTGCAGAGGGCAAGGGGTGGCCGCGGGGCTCGGACCACATTCGCCTGGGTTTCCCAGCTCCGGGCACCGACATCAACGAATGCCCCTTGAATATACGTGCGAATAAAGAGCCGGGACGGAGGCAAGTCCTTTAAACTTCTCTGAGCAGTTGTCCCCGCCTACTTTCTTCCACTTCCAGGTCAGGGAGGTGTGTCGCCAAGAAAGGAGGAAGCAAATTCCGCCGGCGTTCGCACGCCCGCCACAGTTCCTAGCGAGCCCTTTGCGTTTTCGGGGTCTCCTGACTCCGGAGCAAGCACTTACTCCCTGGCTTTACTGTTCCCACACCCTCTCACTGACTCGTTTCCTGCTCTACTAGAGGTCGGGAATACCTCAGAGGAGACGGGGGGCTGTAGCAGAAACCAGCAGAGCTCGTCCCTGGAGAAGGGCAGTTCCCTGCCTTCACTCGGCTCCCAAAGCAGTCATTTTGCTCCCACCCGCAGAGCTTCAGTTGCCCTCTCGCTCCCCAGTTCCGCAAGACCACTGGGCGGCGGAGTCATGGACAAGCGCCTGCAGGAGGCTCAGCTGTACAAGGAGGAAGGGAACCAGCGCTACCGGGAGGGGAAGTACCGAGATGCTGTGAGTCGGTACCATCGCGCTCTGCTTCAGCTGCGGGGTCTGGATCCCAGTCTGCCCTCCCCGATTCCCGATCTGGGACCCGAGGGCCCGGCTCTCACACCTGTTCAGGAAAGCATGCTGCACACCACCCAGACAGACTGCTACAACAATCTGGCTGGTAAGAACAGGGCCGAAGGGGGGGGGGGGTAGGGGAACCAGGCAGGTACCCCCAAATCTGTGAACATTGAGAAAACACACTGACGGGCTTTCCTGCTGTCATCTAGTTATTCTGCCAAGAATTGAAATATCTGTCCCCTGGCCGGGTAGCTCGGTTGGTTAGGGCGTGGTCCTGATAAGCCAAGGTGGCAGGTTCATACCAGGACAGGGCACCTACAAGAAGTAACCAGTAGCCGAAACCGGCTTGGCTCAGTGGATAGAGCGTCGGCCTGCGGACTGAAAGGTCCCAGGTTCGATTCCGGTCAAGGGCATGTACCTGGGTTGCGGGCACATCCCCAGTGGGGGGCGTGCAGGAGGCGGCTGATCTGAAAGGTCCCAGGTTCGATTCCGGTCAAGGGCATGTACCTGGGTTGCGGGCACATCCCCAGTGGGGGGCGTGCAGGAGGCGGCTGATCGATGTTTCTAGCCCTCTATATCTCTCCCTTCCTCTCTGTAAAAAATCAATAAAATATATTTTTTTAAAAAATAAAGTAATTATTAAAAAAAAAGAAGTAACCAATATAACCAATAATGCATAAATAAGTGGACAACAAATCCATCCCCCCACCCCCCCTCTCCCTTGCTTTCTAAAATATGTAAATAAAAGTTTAAAATCCTTTATCAAATATATACATATATACTTTCCCCCCCCCCAATTTATAGGGCTCTATTTGAGGTTCTGTAGACTAGTAGTTCTCAAACATCACCTGGAGGGTTAAACACAACTCCTGAGTCCCACCCCCAGAGATTCGGATTTAATGGGTCCCAGGTGGTGCATACTATTCGTTTGCATGTTCTAACCGAGTCTCTGGTGATGCAGATAGATTTAGGAAATTCTGCACGCAATGGAGAACATACCGAGTTTACACTGAAGGGAAGGCATTTTAAAAACAACAACACATGTTTCTATTGATTTCTGAGAGAGGAAGGGAGAGGGAGAGAGAGAGGTAAACATCAATGATGAGAATTATACATTCGTTGCCTCCTGCAGGTCTCCTCTGGGGACCGAGTGGGAAACCCAGGCATGTGCCCTGACCAGGAATCGAACAGTAACCTGGTGCATGAGTCCACGCTCAACCACTGAGCCATGCCGGCTGGGCGGAGGGAGACTTTTCAGGTCTGTTCTATGGAAGGCAAATTAACCATGGAGCTAATTAAATTATTCTAATGTATATTAAAATATTCTAACAGTCCAAGTTGAGGCCATAGAAATTATTGGGAGTAGTTTTTACACTTTGTAATGGTTGTTTAAAAGTGATTTATTTTTACTATAATACTCATCAGCTATGATTTAGTGATAATCTAGCTTTTTTTTACAGTGCCTGTTCAGTGCTACTCTTGGGAACAAAACTAGGAATTAAGGTAGTTAATGTTTCAGTTCAACAATTATTATTGGGTGCCGAGGCCTCCTGCTCTCATTGAACATGTATTCAAGTAAGGGAGATGGACAATTAACAAAAAAGTAACATAATTTTTAGAAAATGGTAAGTGCTGTGGAAAATAAATAAAGCAGAAAATGGGGATAGTGGGTGCCACAGGCATGCAAGCGTTCACTTTTAAAGAGGGGGGGGTCCACTGAGGTGACATTTACGAAATGCCCTGGGCAGACACTGTTTGAGCCCTTTACACATATGAACCTAGTTAAGAGTCACATGCCCTTTGAGGTAAATTTAAGGAAACAAACAGCTAGTAAGTGGTAGAGCTAAAATTAAACCTAGGCAATTCCTTTTTTTAAAAAAATATCTTATTGATTTCAGAGAGGAAGGGAGAGGGTGAGAGAGATAGAAACATTAATGATGAGAGGTAATCATCAATTGGATGCCTCTTGCACACACACCCCCCACCCCGCACTGGGCATCAAGCCCACAACCCGGGCATGCGCCCTTGACCAGTATTGAACCTGGGACCCTTCAATCCGCGGGCCGATGCTCCATCCACCAAGCCAAGCCGCCAGGGCTCTTTTTTCTTTTTTTAAATATATATTTTTATTAATTTCACAGAGGAAGAGAGAGGGAGAGAGCGAGAAACATCAATGATGAGCCCTTCCAGGTTTGGCTCAGTGGATAGAGTCTGCAGATTAAAGGGTTCCCAGGTTCCATTCTGGCCAAGGGCACATGCCCGGGTTGCAGGTTCAACCCTCCCCAGTAGGGGGCGTGCAGGAGACAGCTAATCAATGATTCTCATCACAGGTGTTTCTATCTCTCTCTCTCTCTGAAATCAATGAAAAATAAAAAATTATGAGACTCATTGATCGGCTGCCTCCTGCACGCCCCCTACTAGGGATCGAGTATGACCATTTGGTGGGGGTGTTGGAGAATGAATGCAAACATCAGCCCTTTAATGTTCTCATCAGCCCTGATTCTTGGTTCTCAGCACTGTGATGTAATACGATGTTTAATTCCCACAATTCTTTGAGGTAAATTTAAGGAATTTAATAGGGAAACATTTATGAAATAGAGAAACATTTCAATTTTTTACAAAATGTTTTTATTTATTTATTTATTTTGTTGTTAATCCTTATCCAAGGATATTTTTCCATTGATTTTTTTAGAAAGACTGGAAGTGAGGGGGAGAGACAGAGAGCCAGCCCTTGAGATTCAAACCCGGGACCTTTCAGTCCAGGGGCTGAGACTCCTCTCAACTGAGCCAAACCGGGGAGGGCTGTTTTTATTGGTTTTTTAGAGAGAGAGGAAGGGAAAGGGAGAGAAGATATAAACATCGATCAGCTGCCTCCTGCACACCCCCTCCTGGGGATTAAGCCTGAAACCCGGACCTCGGTGCATGGGACAACGCACAATCCACTGAGCACACCGGCCGGGCAAAATTTCCCTTTTTAATTAGAAGGCAGAAGACTGACCTGATCAGTTGCCTCCTAAACAGACTTGTATTTTGAGGTGCCATCAAATCATCCAAGGGACGAGTAAAGTAATACCACTGAGAGAGATGAGGATTTTGGAGTGAGAGTCCTTGGTACCAGTTCCACCTAGACGCTGTGGCATCTTGGACCAGTTCCTTAGCCTCTCTGAGCCTTGATTTCTTCATCCATTGAACTGAGGGAGTAACACATACCGATTTCATAGATTGGGTGAGAAGATTAGACAAGCACATAGCAGTGCTTGCTATCACCTCAGACAAGAGTTGTGGTGAAATGGAGACTCAAGACAGAGAGCTGTGGGTGGAAGAGACACAAAGAAGTTTAAATACATTTTAAAGTATAGTTTTATCCGTTGTATAGCTGGGCCTAACTCAACATTAGGTACAAAGTAGGCATTGGGTAGATGTTGAAGTAGATTGAAGATGTGTAAAGCTTGATTCACGGCTGCATCCCCTGCCTAGAGGAAGGTCTGGCACGTGGCAGACACTTACATTTATTTGTTGGGTAAGTGAATGTTGTGATTCTATGTTTGGTGCTGCCTTGAGTTGGCCAGTGGAATTTAGTATAACAAGGCCCTTCTCCCTCTTCTCTCTTCTTCCATTTGGCCGCATTAGCCTGTCTCCTTCAGATGGAGCCAGTCAACTATGAAAGAGTGAAAGAATACAGCCAGAAAGTCCTGGAACGACAGCCTGATAATGCCAAGGCCTTGTATCGGGCCGGAGTAGCCTTTTTCCACCTGCAGGACTATGACCAAGCGCGGCACTACCTCCTGGCTGCTGTCAACAAGCAGCCAAAAGGTGAGGGGGAAGGGGACGGAGTGGGGAGAACAAGAAAATTGTCCTGTTAAGGGGGTAGCTGTGGAAGGGTTTTTTTTTATTTGTTTGTTTTTAATATGTTTTTATTGATTTCAGAGAGGAAGGGAGAGGGAGAGATAGAAACATCAATGATGAGAGAGAATCATTGATCAGTTGCCTCCTGCACGCCCTCCACTGGGGATTGAGCCCTTAACCCGGGCATGTGCCCTTGACTGCAATCGAGCCTGGGACCCTTCAGTCCGTAGGCTGACGCTCCATCCACTGAGCCAAACTGGCTAGGGCTTGTTTTATTTTACTTTTTCAAATTTTTGAATAGGTAATAATGTATTCACATGGTTCAAAATTCAAAAACTATAAAAGTATACAATGAACAGGCCGCCTACGCTTACATTCTTGTCTCCACAGAAAAGCAATATTGTATGTATATCCTCCAGAAATCTCTATGCTTAAATGGGCACACACATATCATCCCTCCTCCTCCCCCCAGTAGAAGAGATTTTAAGGCATTGTTTTCTGCCCTGGCCAGTTTTTCTCAGTGGTTAGTGTTGGCCCTCAGACCAAAGGGTGGCAGGTTTGATTCCTGGTCAAGGTCACATACCTAAGTTGCAGGTTTGATCCCTGGCCACTGTGAATTAATAAAGATATAAAACATACGCCACTTGTTCATGTTTCTTACTTTAAAGTATACAGATTAACTGCCACCCAGGTCTAATATCTTTAGCGGCTCTGCTATGACAGTAACTTTTTCTTCAACCTCCCTGTCATTATAAAATTAGCAACCAGCCCAGATGTGTACAAGATTTTTTAAAAAAAATCCAAAGTGATACTAATGAGATTTACTACTACATGGAATAGTAATGATATTTTCAGATCTTAGAATGATGTTTAAAAATGGAAGCATGTTAACAAATCTCCTCCTACCCTAAGGTGAGATTATGGTGTGTCTCTAATTGCCTTCTTCGCCCTCTTGTAAGATGCCAATGTCCGGCGGTACCTCCAGCTAACACAGTTGGAACTCAGTAGCTACCATCAGAAAGAGAAGCAGCTCTACGTGGGCATGTTCGGTTAACAGAGAAGAACGACGCTTCTCCACTTGAACTTCGGGGAAAGTCTCACCCAGTGAACCCGAGCCTCGCAGGAGACACGAGCCCCACACCTCTGACCCAGGTGTCTTTCTGTCTTGTTTCTAGTCCTGCACAGACTCTGAACTACTTACACAGTCTGCCTTTGTTTTTTGTCTGTCCATCTATATATTTGTATAGCTTTTAATACGTGTTATTCTTGGGGACATTTGCCCTGAGAATTACAACCAGAATATATTCATCACCTGTGTGTGGAATTAATCATAGATTCTAATGATGGATGTTGTCAGATGTATTCATACACAGAGGAGAAGTTTAGCAGAGGATGAAGGAAGGATTGGCAGAAAGGAGTTTCTTCCTTGTTTTCTCAGATGCCCAAAGCCAAAGTTAGGCCAGAAACTGGGCGGTATATTTCTTTTGTGAAACTAGACAATTACAAAAATTGGGCCCACATGTCTTAAAATGAAAGGTTTCAGTGCTCGCTTCGGCAGCACATATACTAAAATTGGAACGATACAGAGATTAGCATGGCCCCTGCGCATGGATGACACGCAAATTCGTGAAGCGTTCCATATTTAAAAAAAAAAATGAAAGGTTTCAAATTAAATTAATTCCTTATTTTTAATATTCCACATATATTCGGATTCTTCCCCTACAAAAGTATCTGGTTCCTATTGTTTGGGTAATTTCTAGTCGTTGCTATTGTTTGTATTCAGATCATTAGAGTAGACTTATTTAATTTTTCATTAAACTCTTCTATTTTAAGATCTCTGGAGTCAAGCATTTAAGTATTTATTTAATAATCCTTCCACCCTCATGCTATAAAACACCCAAGTAAACAGTTTAGTTTTTAATAAGTGCATTGCTACAGTATGCTTGTTTCTCTGAAACTTAGGAAAGACAGATTACTAAGTCTAGAAACAGTACCATGAACGAGCAGGGTAAAAGCATAAATCTGTTCTCTACCTGTCACCTTGTATTTTGCCAGAGCGCAGTTCCCCTACAGAGGAGGGAAACCATGAGGAAGGGTTCTCCTTCCTTAGTTAGTGCCTTTTAAGTACTGTTTTCTTTTTTAATAATTTTTTTTTTAAAATATATTTTATTGATTTTTTACAGAGAGGAAGGGAGAAAGATAGTTAGAAACATTGATGAGAGAGAAGCATCGATTAGCTGCCTTCTGCACACCTTCTACCGGGGATGTGCCCACAACCAAGGTACATGCCCTTGACCAGAATAACCGGTTTCGGCTTAAGTACTCTTTTCAAATGAGCCAAACCGGTTTCGGCTTAAGTACTGTTTTCAAAACCTTCTGGAAGCTGTGCGGGCACCAGCGCAGACTGCAGAGCTGATGCAGCCATGGCTCAGTAGGAGGCTCCATCAACCTTCCACTCACTTGTTGTGAATAATGTCCACAGTGGAGTTCTTTCTACAGAGTAGAGGAGACCGAATGGCACTGCCTCTGCTTTTGTGAGTGGAGCGGATAATAAGCCTGTGTCATTAGCCATCACATAGCCACCGACTGCAGAAACAAACACCTTAGTCTGCCAGACGTACCTAAGTTCTCTCCCTTTATCAGTCACTCCCCATCTCCCAATAAAATAGCTCCTCTTCGTGTCTCCCTGTTCCCTTCAATATTGCAACCATCAGCTTACAACACAAACTTCTACGAAATAATCTTAATGAATCCAAGGATAGAACCAACAAAAGTAGGATATTTTATTCCTTTTCCAAGCCTCTTACATTTCTAAATCTAGATTGTTGACAAAATTTTGTCATGGTTGCATATTTTGTTTGCTTGGGCTGTTTTTGCTTTCTGATTTTGTTTGTGGTTTGTTTTTTCAAGACAATGTTCCTGTGAGCTGTCTTCTGTATCAATGAGGTAAAAATAAAACTGATATTTAAAAATGAATTTTAGAAAGTGATTGTACTCACCTTTTCATTAACGCTGCTAAGAGCCAAAGCAGTCCGGCTCCTATTTCAGTCTTCATTTCCAAAGCCAGCGCCTAGTGGAGATGTTAATAGGAAAGGGACACAGGCAGGCAGTCTGACTGGGGCTGGAGGGGGGCTGGGAAGTCCACACCTGAAGGGCCCACCCAGAGGTACCACACCTCTGTCCTGAGAAGTTTGTGGAGGAGGATGCTGCTCACCTTCAATCTTTACAGGTTTCCACATGGGATTTCAGGGCTTGACGGAAGAGAAAGCATTCATGGAGGTGGTGATGGCTTATACCCTGGCACATAGGAGACGGTTTCGAATAGTGTTTTCCAAACTCATACTGCCCCCTTTACAATTTTGCCAAAACCACATACTATCTATATTACTATTTATATATGTAATTTAAATATGTATTTTTAAGGGAACCTTTGGACAGAGGGACATGTTAGATGATATTGGGATGTAAATAGCAAACTCTAAAGTGAAACCATAAGACAAGTAACTCAATTTCCTTAATAGTAAATTGCAAGGAAAAGAGAGGGGAACCTATAGAGTAAAAGTCTTAAGAGAAGTCAGCCAAATAAATGTGACTCTGCTTTGGGATTCTGATTTGAAAAAAACCACTAAAAGTTTATGAGACTGAATAGAAAAAATATGTATATATTCTCCCTGGTTCCTAAAAACCTTGGAATTTAGATTCTGATTGGAAAAAAAAAGTTTGAGACAATCAGGGACATTTGAACAAGAGTTATTGTCAGTTTTGTTGAGCATAATATATTTCGTCTTTTTTTCAAGGTTTCTTTTAGAAGTGCATATTGAAATTGCTTACTGATGCAACTGGGAAGGAACTTTAGAGCACATCATACCATTTGTTAAAAATAAATAAAACTTTTTATAATAAACAAGTATATGTCAAAGTAAACCATATTGTAAGCATCGGCTTTGGAAAAATTATTATTATTTTAATTGATTTCAGAGAGGAAGGGAGAGGGAGAGACAAAAACATCCATGATGAGAAAGAATCATTGATCGGCTGGCTGCCTCCTGAACGTCCCATACTGGGGATCTGGGGATCGAGCCCGCAACCAGGGCATATGCCCTTGACCAGAATCAAACCTGGGACCCTTCGGTCCACAGGCTGACGCTCTAGCCACTGAGCCAAACCGGAAAAGTTGGAACACCAAAATCCAATGTGAGATGGGCTGAACTGGTGAGTTTTGTGAAGCTGAGCTTGGCCATATGTCTGGCAACCGAAGAGGCATTAGCATTAAGTGAAGGCACAAAATAGCCAATTAGGAAAAGAAAGGAAATCCTAAACTAGAGATGAATATTTAAAGCAGGAGAGAAAAGAGTGTCTGAAACTGAAGTCAGTTTATAGCTCAAACGCAAAATAACTCCTCAGGGTGAAACTCTTAACAGGCTGGGGCCTGGCCTGGCCCATCCCTCCAACCCCTCCACCCCCCATAAAAGGAGATTGATTTGGGCTCAGTAGAAGGAAGTCTTATCCAGTAATTAGAGGTCTCCAGCAATACCAATAGGTTTCTTTTGGGGACACTTATCTTCCAAACAGGTTTAACAACTGGCAGAAGGAGGATCACTGTTGGACTAGAGGCTAGATGAGCCGACCTGTGGTTCCATGAATCCATGGATGGGATGGACCATCAAAAGCCATGAAAACTAAAGATAGTTCTCTTGAGCACACCTCCACTGACTGTCATAAGCTGATCCTAGCACCAGCAGATCCATAAAGTGAGGCAACTGTGGCCTTAATTGTGTCAGCTGCTGCTTTAAACATCTTAAAAATTCCTAACTGCCACCGCCAAAGAAGGATGCATCTCATCTCTAAAACTAACATAATATTGTGTGTCAACGACTTTAATTTCAAAAACTTAAAAAAAAAAAAAGCATCCTAAGCTTGGAAGTGGAAGCAAATGCTTGCTCTTCAGGAGAATGTCACCAAGTAACGGACCCTCCGTAGTTAGGTATCAGGGTGGCGCAGACAGTAGCAATGGTTACCGTTCACGCCGTCTAAAGAAACTATATACAGTTATGTACACATGTGCACGCATTTACTCTATCTTGCTTTTAGGAATCCGTGTTCTAAGGCAACCGATTCCTTTTTATATATTTCACATATCGTAAAATTCACCCTTTTAGAAGCAACTGATTCTTTTTAGGCATCCTCACTTACTCTAGGAATGACTGGAAAAGGTCCTCCGCTCAGCTAGAATAGCTCTTACTATATGCATGTACGTGGACCTGGTCTTATTTCACCAAGAGTTCAGGCGGTAATGTGTTCGCATGAATAAAGTTAGCCTTTTGAAAGAAACTAAACGGTTATTCCAACACAAGGAAAGTACAAGGTGCAGAATTCACTCTTTTCAGCCATGAACATGTTAAGCATCAACTTTTGTTTCCCATAATGTTGCCGATAGGAGCTTTCTGTGGCCAAATCTTCAATGCTTAGCTCTGTCTCCTTCCCAAAACTCAAAAATAGGAGCTGATTATGACTGACAAATTCAAAAAAGATCAAAGAAATTCAAAAAATGTACTCATAGTTTCACCTCAATTTTCCTTCCAGCTTTCCTTGCACTCGGTTCCTCCTATGTCGGAGAGGAGGGTTTGTAGGGAGCCCTCCAGTCCATCCTGCAGCCGCACAGGGGCAGGCCCTTCTTACACTTCTAGAACTTTCCCCATCCCACATCAACACCCAAAACTCCCATTTCTCTGCTACCTCTACTGTCAATAACCACCTGTGTGACCGTACGTGAGTAACTTCACCTCTAGGCTGTCATCACACTTTTTCAGTATGATTCTCTCATCTGGAGTTTCTTGCTTTAGTTTTCCTAACCACCCATCATTTCCACACCAAAAGCCCTCAACATCCCCCCACAAACCTATACCACAGGGCTTAGTGCTGTCTGCCTCTCCATTTCTTATTTTCATATTTATGACATGCAAGCAAAAATTTCAGGTCATCAATACAGTATATGTTGTTGAAACAGCCAACCAAAGGTCTTTCTACGTGGAAAACAGAGGTGAAGGGGTAAGGACACAAAGCCGAACAGTCAAAAGGAGAGAAAAGAAAACAACTCATAGTTCTCAGGAAACTATTTTCAACAGTATTTTAAGCCAGCATAGTGAGCCTGGTGTTTTTAGTCACAAGCCATGGTTCGAATTCCAGCTTGCCCCTTAGCCAGCTAGCTCTGTGACCTTGAACAAGTTAACTTTAATTTTTGAATTTCAAGTTCCCTTGTTGGTGGGAAAAAAAGGGTGGGCTAATACCTCATAGAGTTATTGAGGATTAAATGAGCACTTACATGAAGTCCCTGATACAGCCCAGTACAGAGGAGCTCACTACAATAACAAACATGATTGTGTAAGACTCCCTAATGTGTATACTTTTCCTACATAAAGTCTACATTACCCTGTGCCTATGCCACTTCCCATAAGCAACCTGATCCTCACCGCTACCCCAAGGACAGATGTCATTTTCTTAAAAGATCTAGAGCAGTGGTTCTCAACCTTCCTAATGCCGCGACCCTTTAATACAGTTCCTCATGTTGTGGTGACCCCCAATTTCATTGTTACAAATGGAACATAATTAAAGCATAGTGATTCATCACAAAAACAATATGTAATTATATATGTGTTTTCCGATGGTCTTAGGCGACCCCTGTGAAAGGGTCGTTCGACCCCCAAAGGGGTCGCGACCCACAGGTTGAGAACCGCTGATCTAGAGGGATGAAAGCGGCAGGAGTCATGCAGGTTTGTGGAAGAAACCAGCCAACACCAGTTCAATAAGATACTTTCACTGCTAGCTTTATGGTCCGGAATGCAGAGTGAGAAGTGATTACACCCAGGAAAATTCCCAGCGCCCTTGGAGAGGAACTGCCCGGGTAAAGAAAAGGGTGGGAGGGACCGTCAGCCCGGGCAGCACCCATCCCGTCACCCAGCAGGGGAAATGAGATGCTTCCAACCTTCTGTGTCGCAAGAGCAGGCCTGGCATCAGCTCGTGCTCCCCCAGATGTTAGTTTTTGGGGCCAAGTACAAAATCTTTGGGTGGCCCTCCACCAGAGTTCTGTCTGTCTGCTGTGGGGGAGCCAGGGAGGGGGTGCACGCCGAGGAGGGGGCTCGCCTCTGGATCGGGTTTGCTGCGTTTGGCCAGGTCCTCATTGTGAGCCTTGCGGATGTGGCGGTACAGGTCCCCTGACTGCGTGTAGCTGCGCAGGCAGTAGCGGCACTCGTAGGGCCGCTCCCGTGTGTGCACCGTGGCGTGGCGCCGTAGCGTGTAAGAGCACGAGAAGGTCTTCCCACATGTCTTGCAAGTGGGAACATCCTCAGTAAAAACGCCAAAGCTTCCTGGGGCTGCTTCGTACTCAGAAGGCAGGTAAAGTGGCTCATGCAGGGCGGGGGGTGCGGGCAGGGGTGAGGTCACCAGTCCGCGGTGATACTGCCCTGGACCTGGCAGCAGATGGTAGGGTAGGTGAGGATCGGAGGGCAGAAACTGGTCACTTGGCCCCACCTCCTCCAGTCCTGCTGCCCTTGGCTCCTCAAAAGCCTCTGGCTGGGGAGGCTGAGCACCATACATGGCCTCCCCGGGTGGGAACAATCCCTCAGGCCCCTGAGGCTGAGCCTCTGAGACATCGGGCTCCTCATCAGAAATCACAATCGCTTCTACTTTCACCTGGACCAGCTCAGCTTCTGCTGGGGTTGGGGCCTGGGACGGAACTGGGGCTGGGACTGGGGCTGCAGCCGAAGAGGGGCTGTAGAAGCCCTGCAATGGTCCTCCAGTTCCCCTTGGTTCCACCACCCTCAGACTCTCTGAACCCATGTCGAGGGGAGCCAGTGGCTCCACTGAAACTGTGGGAAGGCCAGAAGAGTAGTAGTTCGCAGGAATGGGCTCTGTGGAGCTACTGGGGCTGGCAAGGGAGACATCCGCCACCGGAGGAGGAGGAGGAGCCCGTAGATGCAGCGAGTCAACCTCCACGCCAGGCTGTGTCGTGTCAGCGCCGCTGGGCATGGGCGGCTCGTCTGGAGGACAGACAGTAGGTGAGGGAGCAGCAGGGCCTTTCCACTCCCCTTTGCCCCAATGGCCCGATATCTCCGCAGATGCCAAGGAGGGCTGAGGGCCACGGGAAGTGTGGGACAGAAATTCCAAGCTCAGGGACTGTGAGCTGGTTTCCTCCTCCTTCTTGGTACTGTCTGCCTCTGCCAGGGCCCGGGCTTGCAGACGCCGCTTACACACCTTGACGATGTCATTCATGTGCAAGTAACTGGCAGCTGCCAGCACGTCTTCCACAGGGGTGTCCCCCCTCAGCACCAGCTGGCCAGCATACATGAAGTCCAGAAGCAGCCCAAACGCTGGGGCCGTGACAATCTCGTTGTGGATACACACCAGGTCCCTCTTGTCCAGTTCCCGCTCTTTGTAGAAAAGCTGGAAGAACGGGCTGCAGGAGGCGAGCACAGCCCTGTGGGCCAGGAACTGGGTGCTACCCACCATCACGGTGCAGTCGCAAAGGAAACCCTGGGACCGCTGCTCTCGGAGGCTCTGCAGCAGCTGCTGGCTGTGTTCTGGAAACTCCATAGCACCCCACGAGGGGCAGGCCCCTAGGAAGGTCCCCACCAGCGGTTCCCTGGGAAGAGAGGACAGTGGCTGGTAACCTCGCCAGAAACCTTCATATCAGCCCTGAGCTGCCCACCGACATACCTCTGGCAACACTGTCCTGACCCCAAAACGCTCGCTTACATTACTATCCTTTTTTCTTAGGTCACAACCAGTGGTCTTTTAGCCCCGCCCCCTCGACTTAACCTCAGCAGCAGGCCCCACCCAGCCAACAAACCCCGCCCCCGGAAGTCCCTCCCCCTAACCAGCCTCCGCTTCCTCTATGCCCACCCGGTGGCTTTCAGCACCTTCTCCAACTGGAGGTCTCTCTCGCCCCCAGGCCTCCCCGGCGATACCTCTACGCCCCACTCCGGGAACTCCCTGAGCCTCTCTCGCATTCCAGGGGCTAAGAAGTCCTAGGGTGCGAACTAGCAGAGAAAGCTGGTCCCTCACCCTCCAGCGAGCAGCCACTGGGCGAACTCCGCCCCTTCCCACCTCCTCAGATGCAACGGGCTCAACTTTGCCTTCCGTTGTCACGGATTGGCTCACTGTGCACTAACCACCGCCCACTCTTGAGCGGCGTTTCCAAGTGGGTGCTGGTGGCCGTCGCTCAGGCAGCGAGGCGTCGGATTGGCTGGCGTTGCTGTCCTAAACTTTTCTTCCTGGTCCCGCCTTCTTTGCCTCAGAGCCCTCTGGATTGGCTGAGCTTCTCCATCTACCTGAAGCGGGGACCGCGCTCTAGGTTGCCGAGCGCGTCCACCTGGCGCGGGGTGAGGTGGGAGGGGGAGCCTTGCACCGCCGTAGAGAGTCGTGTTGCGTCGGCCGCAGGCTGACCCGAGGAGGAGGACGAACGAGCTGGTGTGGGACTCAGGAGGCCCGGGTGTGAGACCCGCTCTGCCGTGACCGTGGGCAGCAGCCACACCTCTGAACCTCAGTTGTGTCCTGAAGGTTCCTACACCCTCAGTGCCCCGCTGCTTCGCCCCCCCTCACCCCGATGGCTCGGGCTCCCGACTCCGTAATGGCGGAGTCCGAGAAGCAGCCGCGCGGCCGTGAGCGCTGTCGCAGTCCTGGCCTGAACTCCGGGCTCGAGGCCCTGCCGTCCCCCGGGACAGGAGAGTTAGGGCATGGCTGCTGGCGAAGACACCTTTGAGGCGACCCCAGACAAAGGAAAGGCTGTAGGTCGGGAGTTATTGACACCTGCCTCTTTAACGACCAGAGCAATATGTCCACAGGGTTAACTGAGTGCCTGTAACCCACTACTCCCTGCTTCCTCGCTACTCCCCGATTCACCCTTGCTACTCCCCCCTTCACCCACGCTACTCCCCTCTTCACCCACGCTACTCCCCCCTTCACCCCCGCTACTCCCCCCTTCACCCCCGCTACTCCCCCCTTCATCCCGGTTCTATCCACTGAGCCAAACCAGTTAGGGCAAGGTTGCAGGTTTGATCTCCTGTTAGGGCACATACAAGAATCAACCAGTGAATGCATCAATAAGTGGAACAACAAATCAGTGTTTCTGTATCTCTCACACACACTCTCTAAAGTCAACAATTTTTTTTTTTAAGATAAGAGATGAAGGACAAGAGAAAAAAGGAAGTCAAGGATGGCCAGAATTGTAGCATGAGCAATGGTGTGGCTGACAGAGCCATCTTCTGAGATGGGGGCAATGGGAGGAAAATTGAGAGTTCTGTTTTTGACCCTATGCAGAGATTCCCCTTAGCCAGTTAGACTTGTGGGCCTGAAGGTCCAGTGAAACGTCGGGGCTGGAGGTACACATTGGGAGTGTCACTCGCATATAGATAGTATTTAAAGCTGGGGACTGGAGGAAAACCTTGTGGGGCAGAGGGCTGCTGGAGTTGCTAAGCAGTAAGGAGCATACCAGTGGTCGGCAAACTGCGGCCCCTTGAGTGTGGCTCTTCCACAAAATACCACGTGCGGGTGCGCACATACAGTGCGGTTGAAACTTCGTGGCCACACTCAAGGGGCCAAAGAGCCGCATGTGGCTCTCGAGCTGTAGTTTGCCGACCACTGGCAGAGACTGTTTGGGAAGCTAAAGCAACCATGTTTCTATAGGTGCAAAAAGGATCGATGAAGATGAGTCTGGGCAAAAAGACTGTGGACTTGGCACACTCTGGGATCGCCATGCATACGGGCTCTAGATATTTCAAGTTACAGTTCTTTCAACCTCTGTGCAAATCTGAAGGTGCTCCCTCTGGTCAGTGCACACCAGTGGCCACCAGAGCTTAATGAACCAAGTGTGCCCTGGATTTAGGCTTCTCTCACCCCTGGGAGCACCATTAAAGCAGGGCACAGCTTGGAGGCTTTGCTTCTCAAAGTGGGGCACACAGAGCTACAGGGTATCAGGACACATGTTTCTAGAGCACCATTTAGTTGTTTGTATTTTTTTTTATAAAAGCTTTCATTTAGGGAATAGAGGTACTAAGCTAGTATAGACAGATTATAGCACATGAAAAACTATGTGAAATTTAAAGTTAAAACTAAAGACATTTCTTATAGTAGTAACTTTCCCCCAAGGAAAAAGATTAAAAAGCTTTGCTTCTATGTTTCTGTGCATTTGTAGAAGTTAGAAAAATATGTACCGTTTAGCATTTGTTAAATGCTAGCAATATGCTAACAATATAGTCCCTGATTCCAAAATAGCCTTTCTTGTCTCTATTAGACAGAAGAAGAGACTGAGCTTCAGCATGGTTAAGTAATTTGACCATGGTCACTCAGTGAATACAAGTCAGAGCTGAGACTGAATGTTGGTCTTTATAGCCACACCCCTAATCACTATTATAGATCTGTCTTGGTAGAGTGTTCCCACATGGTTGTAATGCCCAAGGCCAGAGGATTTGGACTCAGCTGGGGGCAGGATTATCCTAGTTGTTGGAAGAAATGGTGGCACAGAAGAAGGAGCCCAGAAGCAGGAAGAGGGGCAGCTGAGATGGGTGATCCTGGCTCAAAGACTGCCCCCCAGGGGCCGGACCTGCTGCTTGCTTGTGAATCTTTGGAAGACAGGTGATGGCAGACATCATCACTAGGGCTTCTCTCTGCTATCTAGGCCAGTGATGGCGAACCTATGACACGCGTGTCAGAGGTGACACGCGAACTCATTTTTTGGGTTGATTTTTCTTTGTTACATGGCATTTAAATATATAAAATAAATATCAAAAATATCTTTGTTTTACTATGGTTGCAAATATCAAAAAATTTCTATATGTGACACGGCACCACAGTTAAGTTAGGGTTTTTCAAAATGCTGACATGCCGAGCTCAAAAGGTTCACCATCACTGATCTAGGCTGCAGAGATTCTATTCTTACAGCAGACTATCTTTTCCAAGATGGCCTTGACAAGATCTTCCCTTCCACACACTCATCCTACAATATGACATTGATGTTCCTCCCATCAGGAAAGGTCTCTTACCTGAATCTGGGAGGGACTGTCTCCTCCAGGGAGATGTGACATTCAAGAGGCTAGGTTATAAAAGAAGATACAACCCACCTAGTGTGGCTCAGTGGTTGAGCATCAGCCTAAGAGCCAGGAAGTCATGGTTTGATTCCCAGTCAGGGCACATGCCAGGGTTGCAGGCTTGATCCTCAGGAGGGGGGCATGCAGGAGGCAGCTGATCAACGATTCTCTCTTATCATTGATATCATTGATGTTTCTATGTCTCTCCCTCCTCCTTCCTCTCTGAAATCAATAACAATTTTTTTAAGGGGGATACAGCTTCTGATTGGTCCTCTTGGGATAATTGCTCCTAGAGCCGCACTGCAATGCTGTGAAGAAGCCCAGCCACACAAAGAGGCCACATGTGTTTCAACCACAGCTACAGCCACTGTGTTAGGATTGTAGCCAATTTTCTTAATGCTGGTGCTGACTTCCTTTTATAAAGATTTTGTATTGATTTTTAGAGAGAGAGGAAGGGACAGGGAGAGAGAGAGAAACATCGATGTGAGAATGAAATATCCATCAGATGCCTCCTGCATGCCCCACACCGGGGATTGAGCCTGAAACTCGGGCATGTGCTCTGACTGGGAATCCAACCAGCAACCCTTTGGTGCAGGGGATGATGTCCAATCAACTGAGCCACATCTCCCAGGGCTAAGTGCTGACTTCTTTAACAATATCCTCGTTTGTATCTCTTCTGGCTGCAGGGCGGCTCAGTGGAATCCATGTTGTTAACACCAATAATCAGCTGTTTCACACCCAGTGCGTAAGCCAGAAGGGCATGCTCACGGGTCTGTCCATTCTTGGAGGTACTACCGGCTTCAAATTCACCAACAGCAGCAGCAACACTCAGGACAGCACAGTCAGCCTGAGGAGTGCCTGTAATCATGTTTTTGATAAAGTCTCTGTGTCCTGGGGCATCAGTGATGGTCACCTAATACTTGCTGGTCTCGAATTTCCACCAGGAGGCATCAATGGTGATACCGCGCTCACGTTCAGCTTTCAGTTTCTCCAAGACCCGGGCATACTGAAGGAGCCCTTCCCATCTCAGCAGCCTCCTTCTCAACATTTCCGACGGTTCCCTTGGGAATCCGACCACATTTGTAGGTCAGGGTGGGCTTGCCGGAATCTGTGTGTCCAAGAATGACGATGTTGATACAAGTCTGCCTTTCTCGTTTTGGGTTTGATTTAGTGGTGGTTTTCACGACACACCTGTGTTCTGGAAGCAACCTGTTGGGAAAAAGGAGGTGATGAGCTTTAACTATTTATTACGAATGATTCTGGCTCCAATTATAATGTGTTCCCTGCTCCTCCTCTACCCTCCCCGCAACACCCCACATCCAAGCAATTGCCAGACACCAGCAGCTGGGTGTCCCACAACTTAACTCAATTCTGCTACCATCTACCAGGAGTGCTAAATGGATGTGCTCTGTTAAAGCGTTTTATTCACGCCATCTCTCACTAATTAATTAATTAACTAATTAATTAATAATTCCGTTTAAAATTCTTTATTCAAGAAAAGAAAACAAAAGAAATTCTTTTTTTTTTTTTTAAATATATTTCATTGATTTTTTACAGAGAGGAAGGGAGAGAGATAGAGAGCCAGAAACATGGATGAGAGAGAAACATCAATCAGCCGCCTCCTGCACATCTCCCACTGGGGATGTGCCCGCAACCAAGGTACATGCCCTCGACCGGAACCGAACCTGGGACCCCTCAGTCCGCAAGCCGACGCTCTATCCACTGAGCCAAACCGGTTTTGGCCAAAAGAAATTCTTTATTGAGCTGCTATTCTGGGCACCGAATTTAAGAGAGCCGCCGGTTGGGTCGCTTGTGGGCGGGAGGGGGCGGGGCCTCGTGGGTTTCCAAGGAGGTCCAATCGGGTCCGCGGAGGCCCGGAAGCGGTATTGGGGCGGCTGCGTGCATTTCCGGTCGTGCCGGCGGCGCCGCTGCCCGGGAAGGTGTGGACGCGGCTGCTTCCCTGACTCCCGGAGGAGGATGTTCTACCACGTGAGCGGGGCACCGGGCGGCGGCGC